CCTCCCTGGCATATTCCGCTCCTTCAAACGATGGCTACTTTTCATTAATATATGAAATATTTTCCCTGATAGTCATATTCGTTTTTTTTTTAATACTGTTCATGCCCTTGTCTCCTTTTCTTCTGCGCTCACCCTAACTATCCCTTTCTAATCTCCCTGATCCCGGCCACCATCATTACTCACCCAATATTGTTACTTTTTTTTTTTTAATATTCAGGCTTGTAATTAACAAGAAAATTACAGTATCGGTCACCACCATTAGTTGCCCAATATCGGTGGAATTAACTCTGTTGTATAATACCCCGGCTTACCGTAATTACAAGAAAGCCTCTCTCACGCCCTTACCATTTTACTCGTACCTTAATCACTTCATTTACATTTTCCACCCTTTCCCTCAGTATTCGCCACTCCTTCAATATAGTTCACTCATCATGTACTTACCTTGTACATATCGGAGTCTATTCATTACTCTTGTCTCCGCCTCTTAACTCATCGACAGTCCTTGCAGATCACAGGTATGACCAACTCTTCATCTAGTTCATTCCACTCGCCACCCTAATGCTGAAAAAGCTCTTCATAACGTCTTTATGGCTTAAACCACCGATATACAGTGATACGATTTCTATCTCATCTTGAACGCATCTCGTCTTCATCTTTTACCTGTTGATGATCCACTGGGTCCTCGTTTTCCATAGCCTGATCCTTGAGGCCACACACTCCCACGGCTTCCACTGCCGGGTCCTGAACCAAGAATTCTGGTTGTGACCTGATCAAGCAGGTTAATGGTGCTAATACTCAGTACTTCTAAATAATTTACGGATGAACTCGGAAAACGGATAGGGTTGTAACCCATGGCGAGGCATTCCTAAAACTGACAAGTAGTCAAAATTTCCTCTTGATGACAGGGTTCTGTTCATAATTACTCTTATATATTAGAAGATTTAGAGGAAGATTTAGAGGCCTTTCCTTCAGTATTTTCCACGTTCCAGAAAGTATGGCTTAAATAACTTTAACTAGCAACTTAATCACTCAGAAATGTTAAAGATTTCACAATGCAAAGTTCACAAGCTCTTAATATTACTGGTGGTGTTTTAAGGCACAGTAAGTTTACAAAAATGTCACATGACCGTAAAGCATTATATACTCAAAGCTTCTTGTGGGCTGTAACGCTCATCCACAATCCGTCCTCAAATCATCATGCTGTTATGTGCGTCACTTTCCGAACGATCTAAGCCACTTCATAAAATTAAACATTTTAGGTTAGTTTAGGTTACTTTAGCTTATCATTTATTTAATTCTACATCAGAGTTTCTTAATTTATGAGAAATGGTATATTCATGATGTAGGATGTGATGAAGGCTCCGGCTCACAGCAGAGATGAGGTGGTTGGCAGATACTACGCAGATGAGCGGTGCAGCTCACCTGACTCC